CTTGCTAATCATATCTATGATTTTAATTTTATATTTCAGTATGTTTATCATCATATGAAATGAAATAAAATTTATGTTTTTTATTTATGTTATTTTTTCATTCATTGACATTGGATTTATATGTGTTGAATTCACAAGTAATAAAAGATAAAAATTAAATAACATACAGAATTAAAAATCATGTTATTAGCTTGAAGTAAACCTGAACTCATTTTAAAGTAGGGGAAATTGTGCAGAATAGCAAATATTTAAACCATATTAAATGCTATAGCTACTATTTAGGAAAAATTCTAATTCGCAGCTACAGTTTTGCCCAATCTTGCTATTAGTCAGATTTGTATAAATTCAGAATTTATATAATTCGGTTCGTGATTATATAAATCTACAATTTGTTTATGCTTACCCTAGCTATTTGTATACGATTTATGAAACATTCATAATAAATTACCATGTTTGTATATTGACAAGTGAAATATACAAACAGAGTTCTGAAAAATTTCTAAATGTATAAATACATAATTTGTATATACTTACCATATTTGTATATTCACAAGCGAAATATACAAATGAGCAAAAACATACAACCGTAGCCTTCATAGCAAACAAAACTATAACTATAGAGTGCAATTATCGAAACTATAACTATAAAGCCTTATTATTTCTATTATATTTGCTATTTCTGAAATTTTCTCAAAAAAATATACCTCTACAAGTCTTGGGCCTAAAAGTTGGCCCAAAAGAAATTTGTTCCACAATGAATTACCCATATCTATATTGGGCTCTCTAATGGGCTTTTCATCCAAAATGAAATATTTTGATGAAGGGAAAATATGTTTCCTCCTTTGTGTCAATCTGAATTTAAAGGTGGATCTAAATATTTTAGTATATGGGCGTACCCTTAAAAATAGAAGGAAAAAATGTGTGAAGAGTGAATTTATCCTTTAGTCCTTTAGATAAATATCTCATACACTCAATCAATTAAATTCTTTAGCTTTCTTGTAATATGGATGTCATCAGACAATAATATATTAATTATAAAAAAATATACATACAAAATAATTAGTTCTATGAAAACATCATGAATTCACATATTTTATTTTTAGCATATAAATTCTCCCCTATGTCTAATAATAAATCAAGCAAAAGATGAAATGTTCTATGTAAAAGTTATTGAGTTTGTTTGAAATATAAGATTTTACCGTCCACTCTTTGTATAATTATTTTAATGTGTACACAAAAATTAAAGTTGACGTATATTTTATTAAGATGAAATGGTCATTGATGTTAAGAAATACCAAATATAAATTTGATTCAATCAAATGCGTGTGTGAATAGATTTTTCAATTTCAACATCTAAATTTTTTATATAAATATTTTTTATTAAAGGTGAAACAATATAATCTCAAAAAATTGTTATTTAGACTTTTTGATAATGTACAATGGTGTTTCCAAAAATGTTTTTTGGGGCGAGTCCCTGGGCGGGGCGTACCAAAAATGCTCTGGGGCGCAAATTGAAGACGTAGATTCATAGGGTGTAAGTCCTAGAATTTGGGACGTAAGCTCCAAGCATAAAAACGTAGGTCCTGGGTGTAAAAACGTACACCCTAGGCTTTTTTTTCTTTTACCTTTTTGGGTTTAAATTATATTTTTTACTATTGGTGTAATGATATTTCTCAAATAGTAATCATAATATTTTTTTTCTATATATTATAGGTTATTTATTAAAATTTATTTGTAAAATAATTGAAAGTTTTACTTTTGCTTATTTTCTTTGTAAAAAAATTATAAAATTTAATATACATGAAACTATTCCCCGTAAATCCAAAAGACTTACGCCCCGTGTCACGAATTTATGTCTAGCCCCATACTCGCCTCGCACCTCCACCTTTTAGAACACTGATTTACACCATGTTATATACATGAGTTTACTAAAAAAAAAATGTAGAGGAAAGAAAACTAAGATAACCAAAAATCAGATTTAAAAGTTGCACGAATGTCTAGATTTTCATTGCGTCCAGTCGTCGACATTGTTATACGAAGTTTCATAATATACGGCGTAAATGGTAACAAAATAAACTATAAGATACAAAAAGAAGTAAAAGTTGTAATCTGTAACTACGAATGAAATTGTAAGAGTGTTTTTTTGGATTAATTTTTCGCTATTAGAGTGGAAAAAGAGAAAATAAGATTGCACATATCAAACACTAAGGGGTCGTTTGGTAGAGTGTATAAAAATAAAATGTTCAATAGAATGTATTAATAATGCTTGTATTAGTTATGCTTGCATTAATTATACATAGATTATTTCTCTTATGCATGGTTTGGTTTGGTGTATTAAAAATAGTTGGCATTGTATAAAAATATTTATTTACAAAAGTATCCTCCACAATTATGGTGGAAAAGATGTAAAAGTGTTTATGAGGGTTAATTGGGTCTTTAACCATGCTAATGCATGTATTAAATCTCTTTGCATTACTAATACCTAAAAATCTATGGTATTAGAAATACACTCCTCAAAACACAATAGAGTTGTATAACTAATGCAAGCATTAGTTATTCATTGTGCTATTTATAAATAAATTGTATACAAAGGAACAGCAACAGCGTTTGTAGTCCAACGGTTAGGATAATTGCCTTCCAAGCAATAGACCCGGGTTCGACTCCCGGCAGACGCAATTTTTTAAATTCTTTTTATGCAGTCAATCATCTTGCTATTGTATCCTCCTGTTTTTTGTTTTTCTTTAAGAAAACATTGAAATTATCGTATTGGAGTGGGATGGATGAAATGAAGGCTAGTCTAATGTTTTATATAATAAGAATGTGTCATTGAGACTTAATGATAAATCCTCATGTTAAGAATGTTGATGCTTAGATGAATGTATGCATATACTAAGAGAGATAAGATTGGAAATGAAGATATGTATATGGGCAAGGTAGAAGTGACCTTCATGGTGGATAATATGCGAGAGCGAGGATGCAATAGTTGGAGAAGCACATAGATGGTCAAATGACTCGGTTTGAGAGCCGAGCGACTGTCCAAAAATAGAGTTAAACCGAAAAAGAATTGAGTAGAAGAGATTAGAAAGAACATGATAATCTTCAGCTCAAAATATAAACTGATTTAGATTTGAAAAAGAGTTGATTGAAATAATTTATTTATTTTTCGAAACGATAAATTAAGAGAAGGAATGAAAAGAAAAAGAAAACTTTGGTGGCTGTGGGGTTCGAACCCACGCGCACTTATGTGCAGAAGATCTTAAGTCTTCCCCCTTAACCACTCGGGCAAACCACCTTAGTGTCCAATTCAACTTGCTAATTATAATTAATCAAAATTGCAGCTCAGCATACACATAGACTAAAAAGTCCTAATAGTGGAATTGGGCTTCTGTTTTGATTGGGTATAAGGAAGGGTCATTACCACTTTTTTCCCTTTTGTATTGCTGGTATTTGACTTTTTCGTATCGTATGAGTTTATATTTTAGTATTATAATATTTCATAAGTTATGTTTATGTATGACTTAAATTCCTAAAGAACATTTACCCTACTACCTTACTAGTCATAAGTTAGATTGCTAAGGGGTAAAAGTAAAAAAGAAAAAAAAAGAAATAGTTCATGGTAAAATGTGCAACTTTATGTATAAGGAAACTTAAGTGATCCATTTTTTTAAAAAATAAATAAATCTGGTTGCTGTTTCAAGAAATAAAGGTGTTTATACTTCCCTTGAAGAGTGGTATATAATGATTTAAATTAGACAAGTGGAGAATGACTTGTTAGGAACGTTCCAATTGCAAGTTGCAATATCAAATTTTTGTGTTGAGATAAGTCAGTTTCTTCGTCTAATCATAGAGTAGTATAAAATTTCGATTCTTATTATTTTCTTGTTTGGTTTGTTTTATACTTGTATCCGTTTCATATTACTTGACCCTTGTTGACTTGATATGTTTCGAGAAAAAAACTTTAATCAAAGGTGTAGTTTACTAAACTAACATTATTAATGATGTTTTGAAACTCTAAATTTGATTACTATTACTTTATGCAGTTATTTAATCTTAAGGATAATATGAGAAAAGAATACTCATTTCTATTTATATGTCACCATTTTAGATTTAATATCCCTTAAAAATTATGTAAGCTTTCCAATTGCCATTGTATTCTGATTCCGCATTCTCTTGGAGTCAAGTTTCAATAAATGAACATAAATTAATTTATTTTGACTAATTAAATTGACCAATGAACATGAATTAATCATTTAGATTTCTTATGTTGGTCAAATTCATACTATTAACTAAGGTAAAAAAAATCAGAAAGAATAATGCCATTTATGCATTGGATTTTGTGAAATGACAAATATTAAAGATAATTTATTTTTAATAAGGATAACATATAAATAGTAATGGAGGAAGTAGTAAACTCTCTAATTTGCTAAATTTGAAAGAGTAAAACGAAACATGTATTTCGATACAAGGATTAAGTAAAAATGAAATGGAGAAGTAATCCATTGGATACATATTGAAAGATGACCATTTCTATATTCTCTGTCTTTTCAAGGTATCCAAAACAAATCCATTAGTTGAATTCGATGAGCCAACCACTATATATATGTATGCAAATAATCTGGGAAAAAAACAACTGGATCCTAGTATATGACTTTTGGAACATCCATTAGCCTGACTAAATTCAATTTGCATGATAAAAAAAAGCGTTCTCTATGCTTGTCCAATACTTATCACTCAAAACACAAGAGGTTTGTTTAATTTCCCCTTATAACTCAAATTCAAAACTTCAAGTAAAAATAAACTCCTTTAAATCCACCATATTTCTTAATAATGAGTATATATATATATGTATATATATTACATATGACTTGAGATATTTACAAAATAACTATCCAAAATAAATACTACTAGTGATTTATGTACAACACAACAATCTCAACCTATTTAAAAATAACTATGGCGAGATTGATCAACTTAGAGAACTCATGGGAGTTTAAAAAAAAAAAAAAAAGTAACCAAGTTGTGAAGCTGTAAATATTATTCAGAGCATGAAATCCATGAATTTAGGCCAAGGCAAATCTATACTGATTTCAGTTTGAGCTTCTTTTTTACATCTTGAAGACGACGCCGTTAAGTCACTGCACATCGAAGTTTCCGCGCCTAACTTTTTTGGGCACAAAAAGAAGTTTCTTGTTCCCAACGCCATCAACTTCTCTGCCCTGTCCAAGCCTGTATCCACCAATCAAATAATCAGTATCCCGTGAAATTAGTGGAATAAGTTTATTCAAATGACAATGTTAATGGTATTTAATCAATTTATTGTCCAATCAAATTGCAGTAATTAGGACGGCTCAGATTCAACCCTGAATATTGAAGGAAGTGTAATCAAACGGTGCTTACTGGCTAAGCTAAACTGCGAGTAGTGAAGATCGTAATCGGAGAAATCCGTGGAGAAAAGTGCCGGACGTCTTCCTTCCTTGGAGTATTGCCGTACAGCGGCGGCGATGAGATCATGAACGGTTGATTCCGGTGATATTAGCACCTGTACAGGGCCTGGACTGCGCTGAATCGTCACATTCAACAGCAACTTCGTCAACTTCGGCCTAACCTGTAAATCCGGCACAGAACCGGCGGCGGATCCCTTGCCGGAGAACAAGTCTGGAACAGTCCTAATTCTTCGTGATATCTCTGAAGTGCTCCCTGGGATATATCCTTGAAACGACATGGATTTCTCCGATAACTTCCCCTTCCGATTCCTCTCCTCGATTACTCTCCGATGACTTCTCGGAGATGCCATCACAGTGTAGAAATATCGGTTTGTTTATAGATGGACAAGTGAAGCGGTGGTGACCATAGCCAGAGTGGTAGAATCGTAATTAAGGAAGAAACAGAGGGCAAAATGTAGAGTTCATGGTTCAGCGTGGAGAAGAAATGAAGAAAATGTTGGGGGATGCATAGGCCTATTTATTTTGGTGTGGATGAGTCAACCTATAACCGAGTAGGTCGGTCGCCAGAGTCAAGGTATTCTTTAAATAGCGAAACGCGTACCGATTAACTACCGGTTACCAGTTATATTAACGACGACCGTAATGTTTGTACGTTGCGGCTCGAGAGTCGAGAGACGACGTGACTGAGACGTAGGGACTCCACACATTTGGTGACACGCTTGGACTGTCAATAAGCCAATGAGCTCTTTAGAAAAATTTAAAAATAAATTCATCAATAAGATTATTTCATATCAAGAAATGTCATCTATCTTATCACATTATCTTTGAGTGATTAAAATACTAATCTTATCAACGACAAATGCTATTGTATCGAGCAAAAACTTCATGTCCTTTTGGTTCATGATATTTTTATTGATTTTAACGATTGGAGCATTTTGGTACGTAGTTAATATCTAAATAAAAATATTCTAAAAAAGACAATCCCCACCATTTGTATTAAATTAGGCATCGATTTATTTCATATAGAAGATAAAATTATATAATCTCATAAAATATTCTAATTCATTGAATATTCTTACTTATCTAATCTATAACTTGAGACTTTTTTATTTTACACGATTTTGGATGTATTTAAGATGGAATTAGTTCGACCATTTTCTCATTTTCTGGCCTTAAAAACAGCAAGAAAGTCGCATGCTTCAATTATACTCCATAAAGGGATATATATTACTTCATCTAACATATAATTGATAAGTTCCATACTTGTCAAAACAGAATAATTAAACGAGAAAAAAAAAACATGGGTGAAATTAAATAGTATTTTCTTTTCAGTTCATTTAATAACAATTTAAAAAAAAAAAATGAAGACACGATATGGGTGGTTAGTGGAGTACCATTGTTGATCTCCTTTGATTGGGAATGGGGTAAAATAATTAATGAGGACGCTGTTATTTATAATTAAAAAGTAATATTCGAAATAAAGAATCATTCAAAACAACTCATCTCTTTTTTAAATAAATAAATACAATTTTTTTTCCCAATAAACTATTAACCGCCTTCTAGGAAGAGTGCGGGGGACAACCAAACTGTTTTCCCTTAAAATGGTATAGTTGAATTTATTATAGTGTCGAAAAAAAAATGTGACTTGGTGAGGGCAAATTAGAGGTCAAGCATTTAACGAACAATTTTTCAGATAGCTACGAACGAAGAATATTCATTTTGCTTCATGATTCTCACCCTCAGAGTGAAGATTATGTCATTGTTTACCCTAATCATCAATACATGTTATCTGAGGCTTAAGCAAAACATAACAGTGAAATACACGTTATGTTTCAGGAGCATATATAATAAACGTTCTCTAACACAGTGAAAAATACAGGGTTTTGGACTCTGCCACCTGCAAGTCGACAAATTGAGAAGAACCATACAAGAGAATGTAGACGCGCTGAAAGATGGGAAGAGGTACACTGTGAAGGTAGATATAATAGGTACATTGCAAATAATTTCATGTGTTTCATTGTATTATATATCTGAGCAATTGAAAATGTAAGAGCATGGCATAGGCATTCATCCGCCCCAAAGTTGAAAAGGCTTTAATACAACCTTGCAATAATGTTAGCCTATGTATTAATACCATAGTGGCCTCGCCTCCTCTTAAATGGATTATTCTTATTACATTTACACTTAAGATGAACAATCTCGAGCACCTTGTCCAGTAACACCTTAAATTAATTAAAAGAAAACCAAATACAATGTGTTCAGACTTCAGATCACAGATAATTTGCTTATGTATTATGCTGCAGAGACATCTGCCACTTTAGATGTGTTATGATTCTGGTTAAAGTTGGACAAGTTATTACAGAGGAAATAGGAGTAATGCCAATTTCCTTACTACTCTTGGAACAGCATAGAGTTGCACTTTGCATCAGATCATTTTCTTTGGCTTTTATTGTTGGATGGAGGAGTTTTGTCCAACTTTACACTTGAGACATTGCAGCAAGTGGAAATTGCTACTCTTCAGATAATTTAGAAAGTTATGGATAGATTTCATGACTTGAACCTTGAGGACAAGGTTCTTAATAGGGATGGGGGTATTGTTATGAACCAAGTCCAGCTCAATGTAGATACTAATGTCATACAAGTTGTTATTGGGCCGAGAACGAGCAATAGGGCCAGGTTAATTTGGGATCCAGGTTGAGTAGTGGGCATGAAACGTTCCATCAAAAAGGGTAGTGATATGTGATTTAGGGACTATGCAAATTGTTGAGAAAAATGTCTAGTCCTCTCATCCCCTTTCTTTGAGTCTATGCTTCTCATCTCCCTTCTAGTTATCTTCTACAAAAGTTTTCTTTGTTAGTTCCATTTTCCGCTGTAACTTCGATTTTAGTGATTATAATATTTGAATGTTTCTATTGTGAAGTTGGAGTTGTTACAAACTGAAAATGCAAAATGTTACCAAACTAATTGTTCCTATTCTGCTAGCTGACATTGTTGATAATGTGCATCCACTATGATTTGGTGCAAATGAATATCATTTCAAAAAAGTAGAATGAACGAATGAATAAGAGAGAAAAACGGAGACATTCATTGGGAACTAACCTCTAGGCTATTAAAGTAAAAAGGATTGCACTGTTGCAAGACAAAGACATACAACCTCAGGAACCGTTAAGAGATTATATGACTTATATTCAAACTTATTCTTGAGGAATCGTAGCCCAAGTGTCAGTGAAACTTCAAACTGGCACAGGCCTTTCAGTTCAGCAAGCTTTTGAGCCCGGAATATCAGACAAGTCTGTCATATAATTTGCAAACAAGTAGGCAAGCTAAGCTAGCAAGAAGTTGAAGTAATTATTAATACATCATTTATCTAAATCAAGGCATGCCATGAACTATAATCCCACATTATCTTGCCTAAGTTGGCAATGAATTTTAAGCATAATGTTAGCTGACAGCAATCTGGTCAGCCTATAAGATACCAAAATGTGATCTTTTGTCCCTAAAAAAGCTTTAAGCAAACACCTTATGGGCGTGACTTTGTAAGAAAAAAACTTTAATAAAAACAATAGTTTTAACTTACCTCAGCACTCTTCCTTTATAGTAGCAATGGTTAACTGCTGCGAACAACAACCAACGTACAACTAAATTTACATAATAATTGGGCTCCAATTTACATTAGTACAAGCACACAGAATATACTTTATTCATAGATCGTACTAACTAGTTGTTATTAACTCTAACAAAACAATTTGAAGGACGATTGCAAGTGTTAAATAAATGTGTTCATAACTTAATATTTATATATATTTAATAAACTTTTGAATACAAAAACTGGGTCAAATCCGTACTTGGACTTCTAGCTCCGCCCCTAGTTGGTATTTGTGTTCAAACCAATAAATAGAAAAATATTTCGAACAGTTCTTAAGAAATTAAAATTTTCTCATTGTTGTCAAGGACTTGGGTTACTTCTTCTCAAAATAGAATGTAAAAACGTTTTTTTATAATAGCGATAATGCAGATTACAAAACTCTAGCAAACTCAATAAGCAAACCAAATCACATAACATTTGCTTTGTTTTTTAAAAATTCATAAATGAGGGGTAGAAGAAGTGTATTTTTATTTTTTCAACCTTGGCCTATAGGCTATATTTGTTTATTTTGAAAGGATGACAAAATAGGAAAAGGTAAAATTAAAAAAAGTGAAGACAGTAGTTTTGACGACCTAATCAATCAATTTTCCCGTCAAAGTCTTCCATGGACACGTTATCTTTCTTGGTCCAAAGGCTGCTCCTTGTGTTTAATTTACTTCGAAAAATAGTCAGAGATTTTTTTTATTTTTTATTTTTTTAAATTTTAGTATATAGAGGTGTGAAGTCAGAATCTGAATTTATAGATTCTGAATTTTATAAAGATAATTTTAAGTATGAATAACTGTATTCAAACCTTAATATTTATATATATTTAATAAACTTTTGAATGCTTGAATTTTTGGTCGAACTCGTACTTGAACTTCTAGCTCTATCCCAATAATATATGACATTAGACCTAATTAAGAATGTACATTGAAAGTTCAAGTCATTGGATACGAAAGGGGGAGCAAAGAGAAGTGGAAAAAACCTAGCTACACTCCAAATAAATTGATATGGACTACAATGCTTACATCACCTTTATCTTGCTATTTCAAAATTTGACTCTGATATTTTTTGTATTTTCCTAAGCTTGATCATTGCGATGCAGATTTGCTAGTAGAATTATTTCCTATTTATTATCCTTGCTATTTCAATTATATTTTGTTATAAATATATATATTGTGTTATAATGAATATTTATTTTATTTCACTAAAATTAAATTAAGATCATTTACTTTAAGACCAAGTTAATTTTACCCGATAAATAAAAAAGTTTTCATCTATTATAGAACACCCCTCGAGAGAAGTAAGAAGTTTCTTTCTCCTCTCTATCATATTCTTCTATAACATATTTTACTTTTTGTTGTCTATTTAAGAAAATATTACTTTCTATATTCAATAATTCTTTGAATACAATATTCTACCTGAAATGATTAAAATTTCAAAATTCAAAGGGCATAGTGGTACATTGCACACATTTTTATTTTAACAAAAATATATGATAAAAGGAAATTTAATTTTTAAAATTTTGTTGCAAGTAAAACTAAAATGAAATGTTTCACTATTTAGCGTGTATCTATTTCATAAATTTCTATCATTTTATGGTACTATGCTACCACAAATTAGTACTTTTTTAAGTCTACTTAAATCCAACACAATGCCCTCACCGTAGTAAAAACTAAGCACCAAACATACTCTACTTTTATGCCCCCTTTATGCCCCCAATCAAGAGTACAAAAAATTTCCACTTTGAATGTCCTTTTTGCCTTG